TAGGGGGAGGGGGCATGTAAAGGGGGACGTGTGGAGGGAGCCTATACACCAAACTAATGAGGCCCTGGGAGTCCCTCATACTGAAATCCTCCAGGGTTCAGAACAAACCTCAGCAACCACCATTCACACATGCTGGTGTTTTAGTTTGTAAGCTGCTTGTCTACAGGAGGCTAACGCTGCTACAGAAGGGGGTCGATGCTACAGAATCAACTCGAAGGGGGTCACTTTACGTCTAGGTGTTGAAAACAGCTGATATTCACCTCTCACTCCCAAGGTCATTCACCAAGAAAGTCACCGATATCAATACCACGTTACTTTTCCTATTATTCAAGGACTATTTTTCTACCCCCAAAAAAATCTATTTATGCTTCTAATCGTGGATGCTCATTAAAATATGTATTCAAGAAGCAGTATCTTGCCAGGCCTAGAACCAAACCCTTAGGTTCCATGCTAGATGCTAGTTCTTATTATCATTTTTGTGCATTTTATTGCTTTCTGTGTAGGATTTTCTGATTGTGTTATCACAAAATTCTGGTGCTCAGTGAACAATGACTTTGCTGAGAGGAACAGACATAACACCATGCGAAGCTCAAGTACCAGTAAAGCCACACTTAGCTTTTATTTAGATCATGAGTTAGGAATAGGGAAAATAGGTTCGAAAACACCAACATTCCTCCAAAAACCTTAGAAAACAAAATGACTATTTCTTCAGACCACAGAGCACTATTTGTCAGATGATCATTTTCCCTTAAAATGTGAATGTCGCCCACCCAGGCGTGGCTCAGCGGTTGAGCATCGACCTATGATCCAGGAGATCGAGGTTTGATTCCCAGTCAGGGCACAGGCCCAGGTTTCAGGCTCGACCCCCAGCAGGGGGCGTGCAGGAGGCAGCCGATCAATGACTCTCTCATCATTGATGTTTCTCTCTCTCTCTCCCTCTCCCTTCCTCTCTCTGAAATCAATAAAGATACATTTAAAATAATAATTAAAATAAAATAAAATGTAATGTGAATGTCTATCGTGATTCTCCAGTGCATGGGTGAGGTCACGGAGAACATTTTAACAGTTCCCATCTTACATTCCAAGAAAATGCTGCTGCCGCCAAAGCGCGTTCCCATCACAGAAGACCTGCACTTAATAATAAAACAGAGGGTGGGTGCAGGATAAAAGAAGGTCAAGGCCAAACCACAAGAGCGTCTGCGCTGAACGTCCTAGGAGCTAGCTGAGACGCACCAAAGAAAAAATCTGAAATAGATTTATAAAGTGAAAAGTGGTAAAGCAAATAGCACTGATTATGTTTGCTATGTAATTTCACCAAGCAAATGAACTGCACCAAACAGTCAAAAAAGAGCTACTGTGCTCACTTCCGGCTACATGTTTAATTTAGTTAGATTTCAAATGAAACACTAACGGAATGAATAGCAAACACTGACTCCAGGCATATTACGCCCAGTACTTTCTCTCTTTAAACAGTAGCGCTCCCTTGGCATCTGTGGCCAGCCTCTCAGAACTATGGCACTGTCAGAGAAGAACACCAATCGTACCTCCTACCATCTTTTACTTTAAAGACACTTGCCAAAGGTAGAAGCAAAAATACATTCAATTCCTAACAATGGGGGGTGGGGTGGAGATGAAGTCACCTCAGGTTTACAACTTCACATTTTCTAATTTGGGATTTTTCCACCTCATTCTGAAGTTTAGAAACCTAATTACTCAAAGCTCATAACAGTTGTTAAGGGGGCAGGGGAGAGGCAAGTGTGTGCTGGGCAATCTTCCTGCATAAAACAACGGACCTGGAAGAGATCAGCATCATAAATTTCATCTGTAACATCTGGCAAAGGGGATCTTCAGAAAAGAAACAAACTTTTTTTACTGGGGGGGAGACATACAAAGACAGAATTTTACAAGTACAGTGTGTTTGTCTGAGCTCCCCCGGGTCTTGCTTAACTATCTCTAAAGCCTATCACCTCAATGTCATTAGAAGGGGAAGGAATGGATGGAGACAGCGTCTTGGTTTTCCAAGCCTGTATTGCATTTTACATGCATAATCTGATACATATATTATTCCTTTAATTTTTTCCCCCAACCAAAAGAGGGGCAAAATAAACAGGAGTGGGGGTGAAGAGCCTGCTCAACCAGAGAAAACCCAATGGTCCTTCAGGACTATTAATAGACAAAGGCCCCACTCTGCTGATACATATTAGTCTACACTAAAAGGATGGATATTCAAACATCAGAATTGATTCTACTAAACCCAAATCCTTTTCTTTGTAGAAAAACAGAAGCAAGCTGGCCTACTTTTCTGAAAAAATAAGCTAAAATTAACAAACAAAATAGAAACAGACTCATAGAGAACAGTGACAGTTGGGGGGGTTCGGGGCTGGGTAAAAAAGGTGAAAGGATTAAGAAGAGAAAAAACCCATGGACTTAGACAACAGTATGGTGATTACCAGAGGGAAAGGGGTGAGGGGGAAGATAGAAGAGGGTATAAGGCGGATAAACGGTGATAGAAGGCGACTCGACTTGGGGTGGTAAACACACAATACAATATACAGATGATGTGTTATAGAATTGTATACCTGAAATCTATGTAATTTTATTAACCAATGTCACCCCAATAAATTCAATAAAAAAAAAAGAAAATGAAAGCACTAAATCAAAGAGATAAATGAACCCATGTTCATTTCATCATTTATAATAGCCAAGCTATGAAAGCAATCTGTGTCCATTAATGGATAAATCAATAAAGAAAATGTGACACAAACACAGACACGCACGCACACACACACACACACACACACACTATGGAATATTATTCAGCCATAAAAAAAGAATTAAATCTTGCCATTAGAACAACATAGACAGACCTTGAGGGTATTATGCTAAGTGAAATAAATCAGATAAAGACAAATACTGTATGATCTCACTTATATGTAGAACCTTAAAACAAAAATCACCCATGCTCATTAGATAACAGATTGGTGTTTGCCAGGGGTGGGGGGTGAGGGGTGAGGGTGAGCAAAATGGGTGAAGGGAGTCAAAAATACAAATTTCTATTTGAAAAATAAGTAAGTCATGGGGATGTAACGCACAGCACGGTGACTATAATTAATATTACTCTATTGAAATCTTGAAAGTTGCTAAGAAAGCAATCTTAAAAGAAAAAATTTTTGTAACTATGCATGGTGACAGATATTAACTAGACTTACTGTGATGATCACCTTGCAGTGTATACAAATATCAAATCATTATGTTGTACACCAGAAACTGTCAATTATACCTCAAGTTAAAAAAAGAAAAGTTTATGATATATTAAATGGAAAAAAAACTAGGCTAGTATATGTTCACATACATTATGGTTGTAACTATAAAAATAGGCTAGGAGGGAATAAACAAAAATTGTAAAGTGTGCTGCAGCAAAAATATGGGTAACTTTCTTCACTTCTATCAATTGTAATCATGTGTTTAATTTTTAATAACTGTAAAGAGAAATCTCACTATACATTTCAGCCTCATACTGTAGCTCCAAGTACATAAATGACCCAAATGAGCTCCTTTTCCTAGGGCCATATTCACAGATGCAACCCCCACAAAGGGAGTATGCAGAGTATGGAGCCAGGGCTCCTTCAGTGTCCCCTTTCTCCAGTTAAGAAAAATGAGTTCACTGTTACAACTGCCCCTGACTCTTTCTGCACTTTTATGCCCTTTACCACGTTTATCACCACAGAAGTTTTCATTTTACTTCTGTGGTTAGAGCATTCCAGAGGATGAGATCATTACCTTGGCACGTTACCTAAATGGTTTGGGGGTTGATAAGGCAAAGGGCAAAGGCTAACATTATGGCATGGTTTATCAAAAGAAAAGCCTCTATTTAAGACAGAGAATTAGAAAAGGTCAGAATAAGAAAACTCAGACATTATCTGGTCCAACACCATTCCCGTTTTAAAAGAAACCTGAGGCTCAGAGAGATGAAGTACGTTTTCCAGGGTCTCGAAGATGTAGAGCTGGGACTGTAAGCCCAGACCCTGATCTACCTTCAACTAACAGGGCAGCTGCTTCCAGGAAAGGACATTTCAGTGAACTGGAGAGAGGCCTCTAGTACAACCAGAAGTAATGAGTAAAAAAAATTAATTTGTGATAAGATTTCAACTTGAAAACAAACAATTCTCTGTGTCTGCAAAAGCATAACTGTCATCAGAGAACAAAAGGAGGCATGGAAAGAGGCACAAAATAAAATCAGAAATGCACGCTTTCCTTGAGCTCCTCGAAAATTCGACTGCCTTCTTCTTTCATCTTTTTTTTCCCTTGGTAACAGATTTATTACGATATAACTCACGTACCATACAATTCACCCATTCAAAGTATACAACTCACTGAGTATTTTAAAGTTATACAACCATCACCACAATCAATCTTAGAACATGTTCATCACCCCAAAAAGAAATGCCATACCCTTTAACAATCACCCCCACCCCAGGTCTCCATCCCTGGCAACCAATGATCTACTTGCTGTCTTTACAGATTTACCTATTGTCAGTATTTCATATAAATGGAATTATAGAACATGTAGTCTTTTGCAACTGGTTTCTTTCACTTAGCCTAGTGTCCCCAAGGCTCATCCATGTTTGCAGCATGTATCATTCCTCCCTTCGTCTTGACTGCAGTCACCAGACACCTGTGACCCATGGTCTCCTGTTCTCATGATGGACACACATTAACATGGGCAGATGTGCACAGGGACAGGGTGTGAGAGGGCTAATGGTCAAGACTTCCAGGTTTTCACATTTCATACTTACTTTCACTTTGTAAAGCTGCCTCAGCCTTTTCAACAGTTAGCAACAGATTTTCGGAAAGGTCTTTTCTTTTGCTCACTATTGGAAAACCATTCCAGATGTACATCATTTCCTAATGAGGAAGGGTGAAAAACCATCTGCAATTACGTGAGGTCATTCAATGTCCTTTATGACAGCAAAACTATGAATATGTGTTTGCCTTGATTGCTAGGGATCTCATTTGGAGTTTAGTTTATATAAAATCCCCCTTCCTCATTTTATTATCTACCTTTTATGTGGAGTAATTCAATATATATTACATTATAGTATGTTTTCACTGAAAAATTAATTTATTCATTCATTTAACAAGTATTTATTAAATACCTCCTGGTATTCAATCCTTTTGGAAGATAATCGATTACAGATACAGAAATAAATATAATATTTTAAACCGATACCATGAACAATCCTACTTAATATAAATTTTTGTTGTTACATTTAAGTAAAGGGAAAACATTTTAAAATATCTGCCAATTATTTACACAAATTGTTCTCAAGGACATCACTGGAAATGAACACAGGAAATATTTTACTGGGCTCAGGTTCTTTTATACCATTAAAACATGTGACAGTCCAAGAATGCAATCCAATATGCAGAAAATGTGTTCATTTGAAGGCCATATGGCTGAATGACAGCCCCTGAAAATGTAAACTAATGATTTCTGATTGCAAATTGCGTTTAATAGGCTAACAGATGAGAATTTTTTTTTTGGACCCAAAGCAAATGTGCTTTTTGCTTAAAAATATTTTTCTAATCTTCCTGGTAGTTCAGTTCATATTTTTAAGGGTATGAAATAAGTAGGTTAATTAGCATTTCTTAGAAATAAAATGTGATAAAGATATTATTTAAACAACCTCTTCCAGGGAAGCAGTGGAAATGAGGAAAACGCATTCAAGTAGAGTGGCAGCAAAGTCATCTGAAAACTACTAAGATTCCACACTCTACCTTTTCTTTCACATCTACCTGTTTGTTACTAACACAGTAATTACTCAATTCAATAACTAATGAAATATTTATTTAAATTGATATTTTTTAAATGTTGTTTTTACTGACGAAATATTTTATCAGAAGGCGGCAAGTTCATATCTAAGATTTTATGAAAAGTAGGATTTTGGTAAAATTCCTAGTTACAACAACTCAAGCCAATTCTATACCCTTAGACCTAGAGAAATAAGTGCAGAGAGTTAACCACCTTCCTTAAGCCTCTTAATAAAGCAGGATATAATTAGCATATAAGTCCCATGGTGCTCTACATGATTTTCAGAAAAGTTCTGTGACACAGGAAGAAAAGTTTCCAAGCACAAATCAGTGACTGAAATGAATCAGGAATGAAGCTAAAAGCTGTAATTGGTAAAGCAGCAGCAGGCTCCCATGTTAGCTGGGAAAGAGAGATATTTTGTCCTTTCTGTGATTTCCTTATTTTTATTTGTGCTCAGATGTGATTACAGAGTGGCCATATTTTGTCTGTCACAGGCACAGAATAAGCTGTTCTGGTGGTGGTGTTCCCTGAGATTGTTTATCTGAAGTAGAAAACCCCTGGGCCTAGGTGCTATAGGCAGGTCAGCTCCAGTCACCTGGTAGGGGCTGCAAGTTTTCTTTCTCACAGCATATATAAAGAGCTCCTATAATTCAGTGATCAAACAAATAAACAACACAATGAAAAATTAGAGGTGTATATGAACAATTCACAAAAGAAGAAATAAATAAAAATGAGTAAGAACATAAAAAGATGTTCAACTGCACCAATAGGGAAATGCAAATTAAAACAGTAAAACATTGTTGGTAGAATTTTAGATTGGTTCAGCCTTTTTGGAGGGCAATCTGGCAATGTCAATATATTAAAAACATATATCCTGTAACCAGGAATTCCATTTCTAGAAAGCTTTCCTAGAGGATTATACGCCTATGCACAAAAAGAAAAATATAAAAGAATATGCATTGTAGCATGTTTGGAATAGTAGAAACTGGAAAAAACTGAAGAACTTTCAAAAGAGAATAGCCAAGAAAACTCTAAAATACAAAAAATTAAAAATTTTTAAAAATCAGGAAACCCCAGCAGAGGAGTGCAGAGGTCAGCGAGCAGTAAACAGCTTCCTTGCGCTGTCTGACACCTATGCACATCTAAAGCCCCAAAGAGCCGGGGGTTTGATATATGCAGGACTCTTTCAAGAAGTCTGCATTAAGAAAATTTAAGTAGAAGTTACGGCTTTTAGGGAGTGTAGCCTGGGTGACCTAACAATGAGGAAAATGAGCTCCAGCAGTCACTGTCAGATACAACAGCCCCCAGCCACTCAGGCTCGGAGTCCTGGCAATGTGCTCATCCAGACTGAGATGTGCTCAAGGGTAAAACACACATTCCAAAGAATCAGCACAATATCAAAGAATGTGAAATAGCACATTATATTTTTGTTGATTACATGTTCAAACAACAACATTCTGTATATACTGGATTAAACAAAATACATCCTTTCATTCATTTTCATGTTTCCTTTTCCTTTTTAATTTTTTACCTTTTCATTTTTAATGTGGCCCCTTAGAAAAGAACAAATTACATATGTGTCCTGCATTGTAATTCAACTCAGCCAACTCACCTCTCTCTGCCTGAATTTCCTTATCTGTAAGATGGGGCTACAAAGAGAAACTACCCTGATAGAGTCACTAGAAGAATTAAATGATGCATTTTTTAAATCGTTTTTATCATAATGCATAGAACATACAAACCAGTCAAAAAACATCAGCTATAATACTTATTATTTAATTATTAAGTATGTATGAATGTTCACCTTACAGACAAACTTACAATGGTTTTTGATAGAGCTAAACTTCACAACGAAAGTTAGGTGTGCTCCCTGCTGCTATGAATAGACAATTTATTTCTAGAAAGGAAACAGTAAATTTTAAAAAGGCAGCTACCAGGGCCGGCAAGACGAGCTTCACGGGTGCAGGCAACGAGGCGGAGTAACGTCGAGACTTCCTCACGGCAAACTTCTCCGTAGGAATAGATTTCCCGGCAATTCTCTGCTTAAAGCTGTCCACCTGTCTGTGAAGAGCCCCAGCCCCAGAGAAAGGCCATTAGAACCCAGCCACTCTTTACACCCGTGGTCTCATGAGGCGTTCCCCAGACCAGGAGCATCAGCATCACCAGGAAACTTGTTCCAAAGCAAATGTCCAGGCTCCTCCCCAAACCTAAGGAATCCGCAGCTCCTAGGGCTGGGCCAGCAACCTGGATCCTGGCGAGGCTGCCAGGTGATTCCGATGCATGCTCAGGTTTGAGCACTGCTGATTGACACATACTTCCTTCTACTTAGCCAATGTTTTGATCTATCAAACACGGTTAAGGACATCTAGATACAAAATTGGCAATTACCGTGAGCAAGCAGGAGAGCATCCAAAGTATTTATTTACATCGTGAATACTCAGGGAGAGGTAAGAGAGTATACTGGTGCATTTCCTATTCCTACCTGTAAGTGTGACACAGATGGCTCAAAAGAGAGCTATCAATTAATGTATAATTTAAGAAAATATTTCCCAAGCATAGGTGATTTTGAAAATAATCAGCGCGCTCAGTGGTTGAGCACTGACTTATGATCCAGGAGATCAAGGTTCGATTCCTGATCAGGACACATGCCCAGGTTTCGGGCTCGATCCCCAGTGGGGGGCGTGCAGGAGGCAGACGACCAATGACTCTCATCATTGTTGTTTCTCTCTCTCTCTCTCTCTCTTCCTCTCTCTGAAATCAATAATGACATATTTTTTTTAAAAAGAAAGAAAATAATCAGCTAAGAACAGACACCATGTTTATAAACTTCCTCTCAAAATTCTAATTACAATTATAAAATTCATAAGCACATAAAAATGAGAGCAGGATGGGGAGACTACATGTTCCTAGAGCACTTTCTTATAGTACATAAGTTTGTAAATGCATCAAACACATTGCTGAGAAAGAATTCACCGAAAGAGAGTAAGATAAAACAAGAGAAAAAGGATTCCAAAAATATGAGGACAAGATTGTGCTAGGTTATTTCTGGGCACAATTTGGGGATATAGACTTTAACTAGAATGCCCATGATTTGATGTTCATTTACATCAGTGGAAGGGGCAATGGAAATGTGGGGTGGGGTTGGGAGAAGAGTCAGAAGCATATACTGGACACGAACCCTCTTGGTTTAATGATCACAGAGCATGTATGAAGAAAGCATTCATTTGAGGACTCTCCTGTCATTATCCCAACAAATTAGCTACTATCATACCACAGACCTCAAGTTTTCTCTTGAAAATAAAATTGGTCACATGTTTCACAGAAATTGTTTTGATATGGAAAAAAATGTATTCTGTCCTGGTCAGTGTGGCTCAGTTGGTTGAGCGTAGTCCTGTGCACCAAGAGGTCACCAGTTCAATTCCCCGTCAGGGCACATGTCTGGGTTGTGGGCTCAATCCCTGGTAGGGGACACGCAGGAAACAGCCGATCAATGTTTATCACATCGATGTTTCTCTCACTCTCCCTCTCCCTTCCTCTCTCTCTAAAACCAATAAAAACATATTTTTTTCTTTTAAAATTTATTCTGAAGTGGAGGAAACAGAGGAGATGTAAAAGATTTCAACATATCTTAATATCCCATTCCATCACATTCGTTGTTGTTTTGTGAAATGAGAAAATGCATTTGACCAGTAAGAGGAAGCATTTATCATACCATGGCTTCTACTGATGTTGATTCCATAGTTAGTAAACATAGTCTTGTTTTTAAAAAGACGAAAAAATGGTTCTGGCCGTATCTTCAAATTAGTTCTGATAAGTCTGAGGGTTCACCTAAGATTGGTTTTTTTCTCATCAGGTGGCCACAGAATATTATATTCCATTTAAACAGTTTTGTCATCATTTATGTTTGAAGAACACGGCAGGGCTTCTCATTCCCTCTCCTCTCCAGTGGTCTGCGCTCACCCACCTTCCCAGCCTCATCTTAGACCACTTCATCGCCTGCAACTCCACCTCAAAGCACAAGCTCAAGCACCCCCCCTTCAACGTCATTCTCCTCTCTGACTCGGCTGTCTATTAGCCTTCAGTTTTCTCCCAATCCAGCAGTCTCCCTTGTTCTTTATGTCCCTACGTATCCCTGCTTAGACTACCCTGTCCTTTACTCCCTTGGCCTATGTCCTAAACTCCCTTGTCCACTGCCTAGTCACTGCACTGATCTGGCAAAATCCGAGCCCTGGATGAAGCTCAGTGTCCACCCTCCCTGCACCCATACTGAGACCCGACTGATAGAACTATGAATTCATTAGACCCAACTTCAAATGGGCCCCGGCACTGCCTGAACCCCCCCACAGCGCCTCTCACCACTTTACTGTCCCACTCTGTGCGACAGCTGATTTCAAACATTTCCTATCCTCCACCCTCAGACCTCCAGGTTGTTCTTCTTTCACTCTCAACAGGAAACCTTGCCCCCTGCGTAAGAAACCTGAAGCTATGAGGTAGGAAGACTTCCGTCTCATGCTACCACCCATGAGCTCTGCACTATTCTATGCTCCTTCCCTTCCCATACAACCTGGGCCTCCTTCTAGATGAAGCCAATCCTGCCATGAGCGCTTTGGATTCTGTCCCCTCCTGCCTTCTTAGGAACCTTACAAATATCAGGCATTCCATGTCTCACTTGTATGTGCAACTTCTTTCTCAGTGGTTTTTCAGAACGCTCAGATCTCTCCTATTAAGATACTCTTTGATATTAAATCTCCCTCCCTTCGTCACCCATATCTCTCTCTCTCTCTCCCTCCCACCCCCCTTCCCACCTCCTTTCCCCTTTATAGTCAAAGTTATCCAGGGATGTATTTACGCTCAATTCTCATTCATTCTTTAAACAACTCCAATCTGGTTTCCACCTCCATTCTATCACCTTTCAGCTCCTGCTAGGGTTACCAATGATGTCTGTGTCACTAAATATACACTTTGTCTTGTTTTTTAATTGAGTTGTGTTCTGTGGGACACTTCTGAGTAATCCTTGACATTTCTTTTCCTTTGATCTATATATAAAAAGTGTAGCATCATATCTTGTAAAATACCAGTTTTGTTTTAGTTCTTTAAATGAGCAGTGCTCCTTCCTGCAACAGGGTCCTCTACATGCTGCTCCCGTGATCTGAAACTGCATCATGACAATTCCCCGCCACCTCAGCAGCTTCTCTCCCCCTTCCAACCTCATCTCAACCATCATTCAGTCTATGCTCTTATACATACCTCTTCCCCCATTGGGGAATGAGGGGACAGTGTTGGTGATGCAAGTATCATTGTTTTCTGACTTGCTAACCAGGGGTTCCAATCACTGAGAGAAAGAAACCTAGGTTGCTAGGGAAGACTAAACATGATAAGTTAAAATGCTTTGACACATCCAAACAAAGGTGGCAAGTGGAGGTAGATATAGGGTTTGGAGCTCAGTCATGAGGTCTAAACTAGAGATTTAAAATTTGGCTGGGATAAGATTTCCTCAGGTGGAGGCTCTGACCTTTGAAATAAAATGCATCACCATTTCATAGCTGGTTAAAGTAGGATGGGCCTACAAAGATACTAAAAAGGAATAAGAGAAAGTATGAAAAAAAAAAATCAGTCATGTATTGTAATTTTGCAATTATTTGTGTAATTATCTCATTATGTCAAGTTCCACTACAAGATTACTATAAACTCTACAAGGACAGGAGCCATGCCTATTTATTCAGCACCTAACACAGTATTCTTCACATAATAGGTGCTCGACAAAAAG